ACATACCAGCCAGGGTACTTCCCCACATACCAGCCAGGGTACTTCCCCACATACCAGCCAGGGTACTTCCCCACACACCAGCCAGGGTACTTCCCCCACACACCAGCCAGGGTACTTCCCCACACACCAGCCAGGGTACTTCCCCACACACCAGCCAGGGTACTTCCCCACATACCAGCCAGGGTACTTCCCCACATACCAGCCAGGGTACTTCCCCACATACCAGCCAGGGTACTTCCCCACATACCAACCAGGGTACTTCCCCACATACCAACCAGGGTACTTCCCCACATACCAACCAGGGTACTTCCCCACACACTAGCCAGGGTACTTCCCCACATACTAGCCTGGGTACTTCCCCACACACCAGCCAGGGTACTTCCCCACACACCAGCCAGGGTACTTCCCCACATACCAGCCAGGGTATTTCCCCACACACTAGCCAGGGTACTTCCCCACATTCCAGCCAGGGTACTTCCCCACATACCAGCCAGGGTACTTCCCCACACACCAGCCAGGGTACTTCCCCACACACCAGCCAGGGTACTTCCCCACACACCAGCCAGGGTACTTCCCCACACACCAGCCAGGGTACTTCTCCACACACCAGCCAGGGTACTTCCCCACATACCAGCCAGGGTATTCCCACACACCTGCCAGGGTACTTCCCCATATACCAGCCAGGGTACTTCCCCACATACCAGCCAGGGTACTTCCCCACATACCAGCCAGGGTACTTCCCCACATACCAGCCAGGGTACTTCCCCACATACCAGCCAGGGTACTTCCCCACATACCAGCCAGGGTACTTCCCCACATACCAGCCAGGGTACTTCCCCACATACCAGCCAGGGTACTTCCCCACATACCAGCCAGGGTACTTCCCCACATACCAGCCAGGGTACTTCCCCACATACCAGCCAGGGTACTTCCCTCTCAGTAGTAGTACCAGTTCCTAGTAAACAGTTACCAGTAACCAGTGTACCAGTAGATGACTCACTACCAACCGTCTGTGTGAATCACTGTTATTCATATTGCTGCTGACCATAGCAGGATTTCAAACACCCTCACCCATAGGCACTTGTGGGTCAGTCGAAGATAGGCAGCAGAGAGAGGCAGGTCGGCTGTTGGTGCTTTCCCATACTTTCCATTATATTATACGTACTACCAGCCTACGTGAGTATTCTTACCCCATCCACATTATCGAAAACCCACTTGACAAATGGTGGCGCTGGTGTGGGCGTGGATTTAAGGGTATTTCAGACGTTAGAAGACTGTTTGTGGGGTCCCGGCAGGTCAGAGGTGAACCGTCTCAGCCACCTCCAGCTAGCAGCTTACCCTCACCACACCACCCTGTGTACTCTAGCCTGCAAGCCTGTTGCAGCCGTTTTTCAAGCTTCCTGGCTTAGTTCGTGTGCTAATTGCTTCAATCTCCGAGGGGTTGACCCGGATTTTGCAATTAAGCCAGTCAATAAGCCAGACTGTGGAAGTGAATGCTAGTCAGCCTGCCTCAGCCTACCATCCAGCCTGTCTCCTGTCATCCAGCTGCTCCTTCATGCTGTGTGCATCGTTACACGTCTTCCAGTCAGCCATTCTCGTGGGTTAAGCCAGTCAGCCAGCCCAGCTTCCTAACCCAGCTGAGAGAGAGAAGTAAGCCACGCAAGTTCCTCTGAAGTATTGTCTCATATATCGCTTGTGCTTGGATGCTGGCAAGAGTGGTCTTCATTATCCCTGTGGCATTGTGATTTAGTTAAGCCACCTTGTGCGTGGTGAGAAGTGTGTGGCAGTGAGAGCGCACAGGGCCAGCTTGTTCCGCTGCCCCCACCACCACAACCACCACCCAATCACCACCACCACCCGCCACCCACCTACCTGTGGGGTTTTTCTTTTTCCACCCTTGTACCGGGTCCGAGCTCTCAGTAGTAGTACTAGTTCCTAGTAACCAGTTACCAGTAACCAGTGTACCAGTAGATGACTCACTACCAACCGTCTGTGTGAATCATTGACTGTATTCATATTGCTGCTGACCATAGCAGGATTTCAAACACCCGTCACCCGTAGGCACTTTGAGAGTCAGTCGAAGATAGGCAGCAGAGAGAGGCAGGTCGGCTGTTGGTGCTTTCCCATACTTTCCGTTATATTATACGTACTACCAGCCTACGTGAGTATTCTTACCCCATCCACGTTATCGAAAACCCACTTGACATCCCCACATACCAGCTAGGGTACTTCCCCACACACTAGCCAGGGTACTTCCCCACATACCAGCCAGGGTACTTCCCCACACACCAGCCAGGGTACTTCCCCACATACCAGCCAGGGTACTTCCCCACACACCTGCCAGGGTACTTCCCCACATACCAGCCAGGGTACTTCCCCACATACCAGCCAGGGTACTTCCCCACATACCAGCCAGGGTACTTCCCCACATACCAGCTAGGGTACTTCCCCACACACTAGCCAGGGTACTTCCCCACATACCAGCCAGGGTACTTCCCCACATACCAGCCAGGGTACTTCCCCACATACCAGCCAGGGTACTTCCCCACACACATGATTTGATTTGTGTGGGACTTGCACATGAGTGAATAGAATTATCAAAGCTTATTGCTTGGGAAGCATTGAAAATTGGGTTGGGCAAATATGATTCTGTTAGTGGAATGGTTTGTGAAGGACCTATCTAGTATGGGTCAACAGGCCTGCTGCAGTGTTCCTGCTTTCTTATGTGCAAACATTTATGAATGAACATCACCCTGACACAGGTGTTGCAGGCCATGTTGGCAACATCTACAATGACTATGTTGTGTCTCATTTTGGGAAATTTTAAAGAGATGCCAGAAACAGAGCTCTCTGGACAGATATTTAGTGCCAACAGTGTGCAATGACTCTCAAGCTGATTCTAGTGGCATTAAAAAACAAAGAAGGGAAGTAACCCCAGAAAAGGACTTGGTACCTGAAGTCTTTATGGAAGAGGATTCCCCTTCCAAACAATAGTACACCTCCATCCTCTCCCCTCCTCCAGTCTCATCACTCATTAATAAGTCTTCAATAAAGGTAAGTGTCATTATAGTATTGTTTATTCTGCATGTCTCATTGTTTTCTGTGTAGGGAAATGTATATTTCATGTAAAAAAATTATTTTGTTTAATACTTTTGGATGTCTGGAATGGATTAATTGGATTTCCATTATTTATGGGGAAAATTAATTTGGATAACGACAGAATCGGTTAAAGACATGCTCTCTGGAACAGATTAATATTGTTAACTGAGGGTCCACTGTAATGGTGCAGTTCCCAAAACTATGTCTGCCCATGTAATACTCAAATTATTCATGCCTGCATAAGTCAGAATAGGAAACAGAGCATTTTCAGTCTAACCTAACCACGTGTTTATAGAACCAGTGGCACACTTATTCAGTGGTGGGCACAGCTAACCAAAAAGTTAGCTTCGCTAACTGCTAATCTTCTAACTAAAATATTAGCTCTACTAATGCTAAACCACTGAAAAAATTAGCAGAAGCTAACACTTGACTCTAACTGCTAACTCTTTCACGGGAATTCATCTTCAGTTTAGTTTTTTGGTCTTTTTACTTTTAAGACTTTTAGAACAGACCTGGAGAGCTTCCTAATAAGATATAGAATGTCAAGATCATAAGGACAGTGTTGCAAACAGTACTCATCTTTAATACTTGAGTATATGTACCAGTGTTGTAAAGTAACAAAGAAAACTACTTGAATACTGTACTAAAGTAACTTTTTTTCAGTATTTATTTTTTAAAAAGTACTGCAATTGCTCACTACTTTTACTTAAGTACAGAAGTCTGTTATTACTTTTACATCACTACAATCTGATAACGATATGTTACTTGTTACATCATCAGTAATTTTTGAAAAGTAAACACCAAAAAAAGTTACTCAAGTACAGTACTCGGGTAGTTTTACTTCATTATTTTACAACACTGGGAAAGGTACTGTACTTCTAAACTGCCGTAACTTGCAATACCCACGAAAATTAAGAAAATATAAAAAAAGCTATAGTAGTAGTCTAATAAGCGCACAGGAAGTACAAAATACTGGCACTCTTTGTATCCCCTGACTTGAGGACAAAATAGTCATCCAGGTGGGGCCACGGGTTCTGCGACTCCTGGTCCTCAGCCTGAGTGGCCTTTGCTTCAACCACAGCCACAGCCCCTGCAGAATCCTCAACAACACCCTCAGGCAGAACAGAAATGTCTCCCCTGTTCATAATGATAAGTGACAACTCACCCTGGTGATCGCTGACACTGTAAGACTATAACACTGTTGCTCAGATGTTACTGCTGCTGCGTTGACAAGTCACGCTTACACATAGTCTGCCAACAGCGTGCCTGACTGACTGTTGGAGAAATGCCCACAACAGACAGGAACAAACATGTGAACCGCTGAAAAGGCATTACTTTCCAACTACCAACAATGTATGAATTTTTGTTTTTAGCGGACTCATAGTGGAACTTTATTTAGCACAAGCTAACTGGTTCGTTAACGGTTTCCTAAGTTAGTGGAAACGCTAATTCACTAAACAAAAAGTTAGTTCCACTAATTAACGGAACTGTGCCCACTTATTGTATTCTGATCAGCAATCACTCTTCTAAACAATATGCTATGATTACAGTTCCTATGGTGTCTACTGTAGAACATCATGCTTAGATCACCTACAGTACCTGCATCAAAACAGTTGGAAGAGACTGTATAGAGTATTTAGTGGCAAGTACCATCAGTTATTAGATAGGAATTTTGTTTGTAGCAATAAGCTCCTAACCCCAATGTGCTTTGAATATTGGTGTTGAACATGTTTACAAATATATTGCCTGAAAACTAATAAGAGATGAGAGGAGCCTTAACAAAACACTGGCAATCCTGGCTATTGTATTTATATCATGTTATATTGCATTTATCCATCTAATATCATTTGCCAAGCACATAATACAAAAGCATTAACTAAGCAGATCTGTAATTGTCTCACCTCTTCTCTCGAAGAATTCATAGGAATAACATTAGGATACACCTTTCGAGGTCGAAGATAGGAAACCAAATCAAGAACCTCTGAACAAGATGCGTGCATAGACAAAAGCACTCGGCAGAAACTGCCATCTCGACTAATTTGCTTCAATTCCTAAAGACAGAAAAAATTTGAAGTTAATATAAAACATGGATTATTCATATACATTCACATTTACAGTAAGACAATGTATCTTATACAGTAGACCGTCATTTAGCATGGTAGTTACGTTCCTGAAAATGCCATATTAGGTAAAAAACCATGTTAGACGAACTGAAGAACTTATGGAAAATGTAGGGTTACGTTCCTGGGAGCCCCAAAAAAGCAAAACAACTTTTTTTTAGGCCTCAACATCTTACAAAAATAAAAGCAATATGTAATTGTAGTTCATTGTTGTGATGTATTATGTTGTTTTTAGTGGTTAAGGCTACAAATGAAACAGAAATAATAGTATGTCTTACTTCAAATTGTGGGTGCTGGTGTTTTTGGATGATTGTGAAGAGAGTGGAGAGTTATGCTGTGGCCCTACTGGGCTGAGGTGGATGGTAGAGGTTCTGGTACTGAAGTCGATGGTTGTACTGGAGTGTCTAACTTTAAGTCATTCAGTCAGTCAAGTCATTCAAACAGTCAGTCAAGTCAGTAAGTCATTCATTCAAATCAGTAAGTTATTCAGTCAAGTCAGTAAGTCATTCATTCAAATCAGTAAGTTATTCAGTCAAGTCGGTAAGTCATTCAATAAGTCAGTCAGTCACACAAACTCATGTCTACCTCTTTTTGTGTGTACAAAGTAACACTTCATTACTGTTATCTCTTGTCTAATAGTATCTTTGTTTTCTTCGTTAATTCTAAGACTTAAATGCTTATACCTTATCTTGCTGCTTTCAACAACACTGGTGTGCCTACTGGGTGTCATGACTGCTTGGCAGATACAAGATATAGTAATTAAAAGATCAAAACACAATTCACAAACACAGCTAGCTTGTAGCAGAGAAAGACTGGACTGGACACATATGAAGTACAAATGCTGGGATGGTGGGGTGGTGTCGGAGGGTGGCAGGGAATGGCGGGATGTCTCCCCTGCTGATCCACAACAAGGTGGCTGCTTGAGGAAAAGGGAATTTTTTTTTCCTTCCCTCAAATTGAACCGTGTTAAATTAATTTTACAACGTGTTACATAAAATTGTGCTGCAATTTTTCAATCATGCTATACCCAAATTGTGCCAAGTAAACTCATGCTAAATGACGGTCTACTGTACATTAATTTTTAATTCATCAGATACCAGAAGGATGAAGAAGTACTGTATTAGTACCAGCTAGCCACATGTTCAAGCAGCCTGTTTGAACACATGACAATGTATGTTTCCACATCACCACAAACATAAAAATCTCTCTTAACATGGCTGCCTGAGTCCTCAAATATTGAAATTACCTACCTCTTTTCCTCAAGAAGACTTGATATGTTTCATTTTGACCAATATTTGGCAAAGCAATACAGTACATGAACTACAGTACAATATTGTATATGTTGTTGTCTAATGCATAACACTGAATATATAGCATATATTATGCAGAGAATTTGGAGGGTGGAAATTAGGAGAAGATGTAGAGTTAATAAAAGTATTAGTCAGAGGGCTGAAGAGGGGTTGTTGAGGTGGTTTGGTCATTTAGAGAGAATGGATCAAAGTAGAATGACATGGACAGCATATAAATGTGTAGGGGAAGGAAGGAGGGGTAGGGATCGTCCTCGAAAAGGATGGAGGGAGGGGGGCAAAGGAGGTTTTGTGGGCGAGGGGCTTGGACTTCCAGCAAGCATGCATGACCGTGTTAGATTGGAGTGAATGGAGACGAATGGTATTTGGGACCTGACGAGCTGTTGGAGTGTGAGTAGGATAATATTTAGTGAAGGGATTCAGGGAAACCAGTTATTTTTATATAGCCGGACTTGAGTATTGGAAATGGGAAGTACAATGCCTGCACTTTAAAGGAGGGGTTGGGATATTGGCAGTTTGGAGGGATACGTTGTACATCTTTATACGTATATGCTTCTAAACTGTTGTGCTCTGGGCACCTCTGTGAAAACAGTGATTATGTATGAGTGAGGTGAAAGTGTTGAATGATGATGAAAGTATTTTCTTTTTGGGGATTTTCTTTCTTTATGGGTCACTCTCCCTCGGTGGGAGACGGCCGACTTGTTGAAAAAAAAAAATTTGATCAGAATTTTTTTTTCATTTTGCATGGAACTATGACATTTCTTAAAAACACACTGTTGTGTGAATCACATTAACTGTGATGTTTGGCATGACACTATTGATAAGTGATAGTGAATGTACTTCTTTCTTTGGGTGTCTCTACATAGGAGGGAAATGGTCATTGTGGTAAAAATATGTCATCTGTCTGCCTGCCTGTGTCTGTGTGTGCACATTCATACTCACCTATATATGATTGCAGGGATCAAGTCTCAGCTCCTGGCCCTGCCTTTCAACTTGCTGCTTGTTAGCTTCACTCTCTCCTTGCCTCATGGGCCCTATCATACCAAATCTAAAAACTATACATGGAGTCTGTCTCTTCCACTTCTTTGTCAAAATCTTCCAGACCACCATGAGACTGAAGAAATACTTCTTGACATCCCCATGATTCATCTGTGTCCTTAACTTCCAGTAATGCCCCCTTTCCCCTGAGTATCTGTTTCCTACCTCTCGCCCAGCCTGTCCCTGTCTGCCTTGTCAATTCCTCTGAGTATTTTGTATGTTATCATGTCTACCCTGGTCCTTCTGTCCTCCAGGGTCGCTAGATTCAATTCCTTTAGCCTATCTTTGTAGTTCATGTCCCTTAGCTCTGGAACTTGTCTCACTGCATACTTCTGCACTTTCTTCAGTTTGGCTATGTGTGTGCTTGTGTGTATGTTTATGTACTCATCCATTTGCTGATGATGCAAAACAAATGAGGAGAATGTAAAACAATAGAACAGGAAAAGGCTACAAATGGATGTGGAGAAATTGCAAAATTGATTGGATACTGCAAGTGGTTGAAAGGTTATGAGGATTAGGGAAGGGGTAAGAAGACTGGACAGAATACAGATTTGAGGGAACAGAGGCTGGAGACTACTCAAAGAGAAAGACCTAGGGGTGACCACAGTGCCCAGAGAATAACCTCTGCAACCAATGCTCGTCTGGCAAATCTTGGAGTAAGCTTCAGGACTATCAACATTGAGTCATTGCAGGCCATTTATACAACATATGGGAGGCCATCTTGGAGTATACAGCACCAGTATGGAACCCATACCTAAAAAAAAAATGCCGAGAAATGTGCAACAAGATCAGAAATGTGCAACAAAATTAGAGCTAAAGGGGTGTGAATGACAAGGAGAAGATTATGGAATCAAATCTGACAACAGTGGAGGACAGAAGAACCTGGGGAGATTATACTTAGAAAATACAATACTCAAAGGAATTGATAGGGTAGACAAGGACATGCTGTTTGAGAGAGAAACAGGTACTCAGGGACACAGCAGGAGGTTAAAGCCACAAATGAGCACAGGGATATCTGTCAGTAATGTATGTAAATGCAGTAAGAGCCTGGCCCATGACCGGGCTCCGGGAGTAGAAAGATTCTCAAAACTCGTCAAAGGTAAAGGTAAGGTATGGGCACCCCTTGTATATTATTGTTAACTAGTATGTCTGCATATGCAGTATTCAAGTATGACTCGTATAACCTTTGGCACCAGGCACCCAAGTGCTGGCTCAGTTCAAATCTTGAGTTTTGAGAGTATGGAGGCATCACTGGCTCTGCTACTCACTGTATCTGTGTACTCCTGTACAATAAACAGTAGAACTTGAGTAGTCTTTCCACTCTCCATCATACTGAATGAACCTATCTGCAAATCCAGGAAGAGCATGATAAGACTGGTGTCAGTCTTATCCTTCTAGTGGTGAAATTTCAAGTGGATGCAGCATCAGTGAGTTTCAGGGTAAGTTACCCTGGGGGTCCGGAGAATTTTACAGCAAAAGTCAAAGGTGAAAATAGCATTGAGAAAGTTTACTAAAATGGATGTGGCATCTAACCTAATTAAAAACACATGGAAATTCTTGAAGCAGTCTGAAGTAGTCATGTAGACTAATCCACATTTAATGGGTGAGAAAAAAAATATATTGTGCATTTTGAAATTTTTCAGGTCAAAGGTCACAAAAAAGGTCAATTTTTTTGTTTGACCTCTGAGGTCAAAAATGGTCTAGATAAATGTTTTAGAGTAGGTGTGAGTGTGTTAGATAGAAGTGAATGGAGACGAATGGTTTTTGGAACCTGACAAGCTGTTACAGTGTGAGAAGGGTAATATTTTGTGAAGGGATTCATGGAAACTGGTTAGCAGGACTTGTGTCCTGGAGGTGGGAAGTACAATGCCTGCTTGGGATAGTGACTGAAGTGACATCTAAACTGTTGTATCCAAGAGCCTCTTCAAAGACAGTGATTATGTGTGAATGATGGTGAAAATATTTCTTCTTAGTCACCCAGCCTCGGTGGGGCTGGGTGAGGCGTTTAAAAAAAAAGTTTTAGACCTACCCTTTAGCTTCAAAATGATATATTTATCAGGTATGTAGGTCCCAGACAAGCGAAGATATTTTATTGCAAAATTTAACATGACCTGCCGAAAATTACCTTTTAGTCAAAGTTCTGTGACCTGTGTCTCCAGAACCTTCTGAGCTACAGACCTGAGACAAAAAACCAATCTCATTTTTTCAGTGAGATTTATAAGTGTGCCAGTTTTCAGGAAAATCGGAGAGGTGCTGTGAAATGGTCTGGTTGAAGTGACATGGAATGTCCCACATGTCTTCTGTGGTGCCTAAACTTGCTAAGAAATTTGCTGGCCCTTATTACGTATACAGTGGACCCTCGACCAACGATATTAATCCGTTCCTGAGAGCTCATCGTTAGTCAAAATTATCGTTAGTCAAGTTAATTTTCCCCATAAGAAATAATAGAAATCAAATTAATCCGTGCAAGACACCCCAAAGTATGAAAAAAAAAATTTTACCACATGAAATATTAATTTTAATACACACAAACTGAAGAAGACATGTACAATTACATGACACTTACCTTTATTGAAGATCTGGTGA